AGATAGATAGCAATAAAAACTGTAACATAGAGGCTCAGAATAAATTAGAGGAAAAACAAAAAGAAATTGAGAAATTTATTCAAAAAAGATCAAGTGTAATAGATTATAAAAATAAAGCAAACTGGATGGAATATGGGGAAAATTGCACCAAATTCTTTTTTAATCTTCATCATAGAAATGCTACCAAAAAGAATTTACTGAAACTGGTTACAAATGATGGAGTCACACATGATTCACCAAATGATATTTTGAAGGAGGAAACAAAGTACTTTAAGCATATGTTTTCATTTCAGTCGCCTCCATCTCCAGATTTTTTTTCTATTGATAATGTAAAATTAACAGCCATACAGAAAGACTCATGTGAAGGTGAAATTACAGAGGAGGAACTTCTGGATGCAATTAAAGACTTTAAGTCTGGGAAAACTCCAGGGTTGGATGGCATACCAGTCGAGGTATACCAAACCTTTTTTGATATACTCAGAGGACCGTTAATAGCATGTTTTAACCACTCCTATGTAAATGGTAGATTATCAGACACTCAAGAAGAAGGTCTGATTTCATTACAACTGAAACAGGATACAAGTGGAAAATATAAAGATCCAGTCCATTAAACAAATTGGAGGCCCCTTACACTTCAGTGTTGTGATGCAAAATGTATAGCGCATAGAATTAAAAAGGTATTGTCGGACATTATTCATTCTAATCAGACAGGTTTTTTACATGGACGATACATTGGAGATAATATAAGGCAAGTACTGGAAACAATAGAACACTATGAAACATCTGGAAAACCAGGCCTGCTATTCATAGCAGACTTAAAAAAGACATTTGATAAAGTACGACTGGGGTTTATATATAAATGCCTGGAGCATTTCAATTTTGGAGAATCTCTTATAAAATGGGTAAAAATCATGTATAGTAACACTAGGTGTAAAATAGTAAATAATGGCTATTTCTCCGTAAGTTTTAAACTGTCAAGAGGAATGAAACAAGGTTGTCCACTATCGGCATATCTATTTATTATGGCCATCGAAATGTTAGCTATTAAAATCAGATCCAACAATAATATCAAGGGATTAGAAATCCAGGGCTTAAAAACAAAGGTATCATTGTACGCTGATGATTCATGTTTTCTTTTAAATCCACAACTTGAATCCCTCCACAGCCTCATAGAGGATCTAGATACATTTTCTAACCTCTCTGGATTACAACCAAATTATGATAAATGTACTATATTACGTATTGGATCACAAAGAAATACAATTTTTTCATTACCATGTAGTTTACCAATAAAATGGTCTGATGGTGATGTGGATATACTCGGAATACATATCCCAAATGAAATAAATGATCTCACTCCAATACATTTTAATAGAAAGTTAGCAAAAATAGATAAGATCTTGCTACCATGGAAAGGTAAATACCTGTCAATTTGTGGAAAAATCACCCTGATTAACTCTTTAGTATTATCCCAGTTTACCTATTTGCTTATGGTCTTGCCTACGCCTAGCACACAGTTTTTTAAATTATATGTGAAAAAAATATTCCATTTTATTTGGAACAGCAAGCCAGACAAAATTAAACAGGCCTATTTATATAATGAATATGAATTCGGAGGACAGAAATTATTAAATATTAAAGCATTAGACCTATCACTAAAAGCTTCAGTCATACAAAAGTTATACCTAAATCCGAACTGGTTCTCTAGCAAATTAGTAAGATTGTCTCACCCAATGTTCAAGAATGGCCTTTTTCCCTTTATTCAGATTACAACCTCTCACTTTCAGTTATTTGAAAAGGAAATCATCTCCCAAATATCACTATTTCTAAAACAAACCATAGAAAGGTGGTTGCAATTTCAATTTACTCCTCCAGAAACGACAGAACAAATAATGCAACAAATATTGTGGTTAAACTCAAATATACTAATTGATTAAAAAAAACATTATTTTTTGAGAAAATGTTTAAAAAAGGTATAATCTTCGTAAATTATGTCATAGGTAGGACTGGTGGAGTTATGTCGCACATGCAGCTAACAAAAACATATGGAAATGTCTGCTCTACCCAAAATTACAACCAAATAATTGCAGCAGTACCGCAAAAATGGAAGAGGAAAGTGGAAGGGGGAAAAAGGAAGGAACTTGTCCGTCGGCCCTGCATTAAAGAACATAATTGGTTAAAGAAAATTGTGATAAATAAAAAAGTATACCGGTTTCATTTAAGGACCAAAGGATTGACAGCTGTCCCATATAGATTGCAAAATAGTTGGGAAGAGATTTTTGACGTACCGATTTCATGGCATAGTGTTTATGAACTGATGCGCAAATACGACGCCGGATTCAAAACATAGAATTTTTCAATTTAAATTAGTATATAAAATTCTTGCTACCAATAGAATGTTATTTATATGGGGGATACAATCTTCCCAGCTCTGCAGATTTTGCTGCGAAGAGACAGAATCATTCGTTTTGGTACTGTCCATTTGTAGCTTGTTTTTGGACACAGGTCCAGGAATGGCAAAAGGATTGCAATATTTACCTGGAGTTAACCCTGCAGATAGCACTACTGGGTGATCTGAAAAGTCATAGTCAATCGATCAATAATATAATAATACTTTTAGCAAAAATGTTTATTTTCCATTTACAATCTGTAGAAGCAATGAGAATAGAAGGGTTCAGAACTTTTGTAAAACATCACAGTACAGTTGAAAAATATATGGCAAATAGAAATCCAAGAGATAGATGGGTGGTGTTGAATGTTGTTGAAGAATGGGACTAATAACAACTAACAACAACGAATAACAACAAGATAACTAATGTAAAGCATACTGTGTCCATAATAAGTATATAGGTTATAGGTTGAGAGCTTTTCTGAAAGAGCACAGTTAGAAAGATATGGCAAACCGGATGGACATCATGAAAATGATCGGAGAGGTTGAGGGTAGAAGAAGTTCATGAGTAAAAACAAACAATAGAAAATCTTTGGAGGGAGCTGAAAGTCCGTATTGCCCAGCGACAGCCCCGAAACCTGAAGGATCTGGAGAAGGTCTGTATGGAGGAGTGGGCCAAAATCCCTGCTGCAGTGTGCAAACCTGGTCAAGACCTACAGGAAACGTTTGATCTCTGTAATTGCAAACACAGGTTTCTGTACCAAATATTAAGTTCTGCTTTTCTTATGTATCAAATACTTATGCCATGCAATAAAATGCAAATTAATTACTTAAAAATCATACAATGTGATTTTCTGGATTTTTGTTTTAGATTCCGTCACAGTTGAAGTGTACCTATGATAAAAATTACAGACCTCTACATGCTTTGTAAGTAGGAAACACTGCCGATTTTTCAGGTTATCAAATACTTGTTCTCCCCACTGTATATATATTTACATTTACATTTACGTCATTTAGCAGAAGCTCTTATCCAGAGCGACTTATATGCGAGAAAAAAAACATATGGGGGATTGGAAGTGATGCAGACAATTACATTGTTGGAAGTTACAATCTATCTGCAATATTAAAGCTGATCTACCCCCCAATTTATTTATTTTATTTTTTATAAATAAATAATCACTGGCCACTTTAAGAAATGGAACACTAGCCACTTTAATAATGTTTACATATCTTGCATTACTCATCTCATATGTATATACTGTATTCTATACTATTCTACTGTATCTTAGTCCATGCCGCTCTAACATCGCTTGTCCATGTATTTATATTTTCTTAATTCATTCCTTACTTAGATTTGTGTGTATTGGCTATATGTTGTGAAATTGTTAGATATTACTTGTTAGATATTACTGCACTGTCAGAGCTAGAAGCACAAGTATTTCGCTACACCCGCAATAACATCTGCTAAACACGTGTTTGTGACCAATAAAACTTGATTTTGATTTGAAGGCAGTAGGCTATAAGCGCAAATGATCCATTAACAGGAAAACACCATTCTCAAAAGTGAATACAAATGTGATTATGCATGTAATGCTTTTATTATAAAGGTGCATTTATGAGCTAGGCTACATGAGGTGTGGGACTCTGATTTTTTTTAAAGTCGCAAAAAAAAGCATGCGCTGTTTCTTGCCTTAAGCTGGGCATCATTCACAAGTGATAGGCTAATATTGTCACCCATCAGACTATTCTTGATTTAAATTTGTCTTTACATATACTAAATAATGTATATGTGAAATTTGTTTTGATTTAGAATGGACCATTATCATGCACCTGTCTCGAAATAGGGGCAGCATAAAAAAATAAATGTTGTTTATGCACTTAAAATACACATGGAGGACGCTTTTCCCGTGGTTCATTTTCATGTCAGCCAGGTAGGCTATACTCCTGTTGTAAAGCGAAGCAATGTGCTTAATATTAGGAAAGTTGTGGTAGGCCAAGCCTATAGAAAGCTGATGGGATCCTCCTCTTTTTAATAGAGGCCATCACTCTTTCTCACACAATTGCATAGCCTATATAAATGTTGTGTAACATGAGTTCATGCTCTCATTAAGTGTTTGATTAGATTTTCAATTACTAAACGGTCACATGGAATTTGACTGCCGTCATGACTCGTGACGGTAATACGGTCACCTTAACAGCCCTACCCACAACAACAACTCCTCCCTCATAATACACATAATACATATATATTGCCTGTCACATGGAACTCTATTGGTCTATTAACCAATTTACTGCCTGGTGATGTCACCAGGCAAGCCGAAACACCCGCCTATGCAAGCAGGCTGATTAGAAGGTCCTGTGTAGATTGTATTTTAAACCAGCAACTATCAGGAAATAACACAAATCACATTTTTTCACACTTTCACAGTGTTAGTTTCATCAGCTGTTGTACAATATGATACAAAACAGAGGTAAAACAGAATTTTGACTGCACTGGGCCTTTAACACCTCTTACTTCACAAGGGTGCAATTTCTACATCTCTTTCATGTGACCTACACTAGCCCCTCCTGACCGGTCCAGCCCGACTCCCGGTATTGTTGACCGACCCAGTCCGACTCTCGTGGGGATGTTGGTGATGATGGTCAGTCCCTTGAAATGACAGAGGAAAGGATCGATTACCTTCTTAATAAATGGTAAGTCCATTCAAGCATGCACAGTTCAACCCCAGAAAACAGTAAACAGTTTCCTTGTCAGCCTATGCTTTTGGTCATCAATAAAGCATTGTGTGTGTGTGTGTGTGTCAGGCCTAACCTCGCTCCCCTGTTGGAGAGGGTGAAGAACAGAAGCACTGCGTTGTCTGTCCCCAACCAGAGCCCAATGGAGAGATTCCTTAAACGTCACCTCAGCGTTACACAGCTATGTGAGCAGTCTTGGTGTGAGATCAAAATGGCCTATGGGTTCTTAAAGCCTAAAGTAAGGATGATGGAGATGCATAAGTGACAAGTGGGGCCAGTATTCATCTCGCCAGAGGTAAGCAACACGTTGCGTTTATGATGTGATTCCATATCTCCTCCCATACGACTAATGTGCCCTAGATTAGAAAATAAGGTTATATTACCATAACCATACTGAACTAGGCCTACCTCATGAGCCAATGCATTGGCACATAGAGGTAGGCCTAGGGGAAGAGCATTGGCACATATAATACTTTAATGTTAGTAATTTTGTAACATACACATTCATCCACAGGGATTTATGCTATCGTTGATCTTTGCTTTCCTTATGGATGTTATGGAGGTAACTAGTTATTACCCATGTCCTGACCTTGTATCTCTGTGTCTAGAACTGGAGGTGAAACCAGATGTTGTGAGTGTGGCTGCTGTCACCAGTGAGGACAGGGAGGCTCTGAAGCTCATCAACATGCTACAGATGGTCCCAGCTTTAGAGGCAGGTATGGTGGTACATTACTTTTATTTATTTATCCCTTATTTTACCAGGTAAGTCGACTGAGAACACATTCTCATTTACAGCAATGACCTGGGGAATAGTTACAGGGGAGAGGAGGGGGGATGAATGAGCCAATTGGAAGCTGGGGATGCTTAGGTTACATTACATATCCATGTTTTTTCAGAATTCCTGACTATCGGCCCAATCTTGAGCGCTCTAAAGAGGGAAATGTAAAATAACATTACCACTGGAGACCGCCATCACAGAGTTGTGTGTGTGTGTGTCCCAGGACAGCTTGTGCGGGAGTTCCCAGTGTTTGGTGTGTTGGAAGGGATGTTCTTCATGGGTGTGATTGATGAGCTGCATCGTAGTGACTCTGGGGAACTGAAAATAAAAATAAAATACTGGTCCTGAGTGAACTGAAGACCCACAGTCACAACTCTCTGCCCCGCCCAGCCCAGACCAAGGGACACTCTCTACAGGTACACTACAGACAGTCAGACACTCTCTTATCTTTCTCTCTGACCTCTCTGATCTTTCTCTTAAGTCTCCCCTCACTTTCTGGTCTCTGACCTTTCTTTCTAACCTCTCTCTGAGCCCTCCTTTATTTCTCCATGTGGAATCTGACCACTATCTATATGATCTATTTCTTTGATCCATCTCTCTCTCTATGACCTGTACCTCATCCTCTCTCTCTCTCTCTCTCGCTGTCTCTCTCTCACTGTCTCTCTCTCTCTCGCTGTCTCTCTCTCACTCTCTCTCTCGCTGTCTCTCTCTCACTGTCTCTCACTCTCTCTCTCGCTGTCTCTCTCTCGCTGTCTCTCACTGTCTCTCTCTCGCTGTCTCTCTCACTGTCTCTCAGGTGGGTATGTACAAGCTCTTGTTTGACTCCATGGTCAAGGGTTCTGTGAAGAGGGACCATCTCCTCCACAACCTTCAGCTGAATCCTAATCAGGTCCTTGGATCAGACCTCCAGACCCACACCCAGACACTGGGCCTCCAGGCAGTCACGTTCAGAGAGCTCCTGGACCACCTACTGGTCGTCCTTACCTGTTCTAACCTCTATGCTATCGACAAGCTACGCCTGGAGTATAGCCACCAGCGCTCCGGAAAGCTCATTGGCACCAGGGAGGTAGTGTTTGAGGAAGCCCAGCTTAGGGCTAATATCAAAGGCTACCTGGCCTACTGGAGGGGCGAGAGGGTGCCCCAGGGACTGGAAGTGGAGGAGGCCTGGAAGTGCAGGATGTGTCCCTACGAGGAGACCTGTGACTGAAGGAGGGATAGGTCACAAAGGATGATGATGGTGAATAAGAGAGCCAAGTTGGAGGGTCCCAAGTCAGATGATCCCAAGGCGGATGGTTCGAATTTGGATGGATCCAAATTGGAGGATCCCAAGTCGAATACCGGTAGTTCTCCTGAATTAAATAGCCCCAAACATACAGAACCCCAGGCATGTCTCCTGTAATGGTTTTCTGGGTGTAGTGTGAAGTGAATGTGGTTCAGGAAGGTTCTATCTATGTATCATTGAAGGTGTAAGCCTATTAAACAATATTAAAGTCAGGTTTGTTTAGAGCTACAGTGCCTTCAGAAAGTATTCACACCCCTTGACTTTTTCCACAGCCTGAATTTCTAATTGATTAAATTGAGATATTGTGTCACTGATCTACACACAATACCCCATAATGACAAAGTGGAATTACGTTTTTAGAAATGTTTACAAATTAATTAAAAATGAAAAGCTGAAATGTCTTGAGTCAATAAGAATTCAACTCTTTGTTATGGCAAGCCTAAATAAGTTCAGGAGTAAACATGTGCTTAATAAGTTACAGAAGCTGCATGGACTCACTCTGTGTGCAATAGTGTTTAACATTATTTTTAAAGAAATTAACTTTTTGTCCTGAATACAAAGTGCTATGTTTGGGGCAAATCTAACACATCACTGAGTACCACTCATCATATTTTCAAGCATGTTGGTGGCTGCATCATGTTATTGGTATGCTTGTCATCAGCAAGGACTAGGGAGTTTTTTGGGATACAAATGAATGGAATAGAGCTAAGCACAGGCAAAATCCTAGAGGAAAATGTGGATGTCTGCTTTCCAACAGACACCTTTCAGCAGGACAATTACCTAAAACACAAGGCCAAATATACACGAGTTGCTTACCAAGACAATATTAAATGTTCCTGAGTGGCCTAGTTTCAGTTTTGACTTAAATCGAATTGAAAATCTATGGCAAGACTTGAAAAGGGCTGTCTAGCAATAATCAACAACGAAGTTGACAGAGCTTGAAGAAATGTAAAAAGAATAATGGACAAATGTTTTACAATCCAGGTGTGCAAAGCTCTTAGAGACTTACCCAGAAAGACTCACAGCTGTAATTGCTGCCAAAGGTGATTCTAGCATGTATTGATCTCGGGGTTTCTTGTCAGAGCAGCTTACCGATCACTGCACCTGTACACAGCCCATCTGTAATTAGCCCACCCAACTACCTCATCCCCATGTTGTTATTTACATTGTTATTTATTTTGCTCATTTGCACCCCAGTATCTCTATTTGCACATCATCTTCTGCACATCTATCACTCCAGTGTTAATACTAAATTGTAATTATTTTGCACTATGGCCTATTTATTGCCTTACCTCCATAACTTACTACATTTACACACACTGTATATAGATTTTCTATTGTGTTATTGACTGTACGTTTTGTTTATTCCATGTGTAACTCTGTGTTGTTGTTGTTGTTTTTACCACACTGCTTTGCTTTATCTTGGCCAGGTCCCAGTTGTAAATGAGAACTTGTTCTCAACTGGATTACCTGGTGAAATAAAAAATGAAATGAAAAAAGTTTGTAATGTGAAAGTGTAGAAAATAAATCTGAGTATTTTGTGTAGATCGTTGACAAAAATGTACAATGAAATCTGTTTTAATCCCACTTTGTAACAAGAAAATGTGGAAAAGGTCAAGGGGTGTGAATGCTTTCTGAAGGCACTGTAAGTGAGCTACCTCAGCAGTTGCAATAACCACTTATAAGTGTATATTCCTTTATATAACTATCGAAATATATGTTCACTTTTTGTAAACGTTTTTTGTACTGAGGAAAAATATATTGAATACCTTGAAATGCAATACAATAAATTAATTAAAGGATGAATGAGTCTGTCATTTAGTATGAGATATTTTGAAGGAGGCACAGAATAAAACCAAGCATGAGAGATTATTATTTCCTCCACCAGGTGGAGATGGTGTGTAAAACAGATTTTTTTTTAATTATCATAATTCTTATGTATGAACTGTTCCCAAAACAGTCATTTTGAATGTCTGTTTTTATTTTTACTAATCTGGAAGGTAGGCCTATTTAAGATTTGTCTGCCACATTGTAGCCTGTACCATGCAATTTGTGTATTTTTTTTCTCCTGAAAGCGAGTGTCCTGAAATTAATCTCTGCCTAATGAGTTAAAAAATAAAAGTTAAAGTACACATTTCTAATATAAATGACAAGGAAATTCATGGAATCTTGTACTTCGAGATTCTCGCGCGCTCTCGATTGATACACACCCCTTGCGCGCGCGCGCCCGCCCCTCTCATCACCGTCGGAAAATAAAAGGAAAATCATTGAGTCAAGAGTAGGATACGGATAAGGAGCATCTATCTACGTAGTGGTAGAGAAGGTGTTTGAGAAACAGGTGGAAAAGTCGTGTATTCACGATGAAGGACCGTACACACGAGCTTAGGATGGTAAGTGATATATTATTTTTTATTCTAGCCTACTACATTTGAGATCCCAGAAACAAACTGGTTATTTGGAGGGGTTGGGGTGGAGCGGTAACTTTAGGTGCGCCTCACTTCTTTTTTTGGAAGGGGAAAGCAGCTGTCTTAGAGTAGAACAAACTCAAAATGTTTTACCTTAAAAATGTTTTATAATTTACAGTAATTTTATAAAAATATGCTGTACATTTCTGTGTATCAGTTTTGTTTAGTCTCAAAGTAAAACTTTTTCCACACTTCCATATGGAAACGCAACGGGTGAGAGGAGGGTGAAAGTATTGGCACCAGTCAGGTGTCGCTTGCCTGTTGTCCATCAGTAGGCTAGTTGTTGAGTTTACATGGTTCATAAGCGCACACGTGAAACACTTTTTCCAATGTGATTAATGAATGCCAAAGGATTAATGAATTTGCTTCTAGCTTCAGCTCTATGTATGAACTACGTCTAGATATAATGCTTTTATTTTTTCATTAAATTCCACATACACTATATATACAAAAGTATGTAGACACCCCTTCAAATTAGTGTATGCGGCTATTTCAGCCCCACCCGTTGCTGACAGGTGTATAAAATTGAGCACACAGCCATGCAATCTCCAAAGACAAACATTGGCAGTAGAATGGCCTTACTGAAGAGCTTAGCGACTTTCAACGTGGCACCATTATAGGATGCCACCTTTCCTAGAGCTGCCCCGGTCAACTGTAAGTGCTGTTATTGTGAAGTGGAAACATCTAGGAACAACAATGGTTTAGCTGCGAAGTGGTAGGCCACACAAGCTCACAGAACGAGATCACCGAGTGCTGAAGCGCGCAGCGCGTAAAAAAAATAATCTGTCCTCGGTTGCAACACTCACTAGTTCCAAACTGCCTCTGGAGCAGTGGAAACGCGTTCTCATGAGTGATGAATCAAGCTTCACCATCTGGCAGTCCGATGGACGCGTCTGGGTTTGGCGGATGGCAGGAGAACGCTACCTGCCCCAATGCATAGTGCCAACTGTAAAGTTTGGTGGAGGTGGAATAATGGTCTGGGGTTGTTTTTCATGGTCGGGCTAGGCCCCTTAATTCCAGTGAAGGGAAATGTTAACGCTACAGCATACAATGACACTCTAGACGATTCTGTGCTTCCAACTTTGTGGCAACAGTTTGGGGACGGCCCTTTCCTGTTTCAGTATGACAATGCCCCTGTGCACAAAGCGAGGTTCATACAAGATCGGTATGGAAGAACTTGACTGGCCTGCACAGAGCCCTGACCTCAAACCCATCAAACACCTTTGGGATGAATTGGAACGCTGACTGCGAGCCAGGCCTAATCGCCCAACATCAGTGCCCGACCTCACTAATGCTCTTGTGAATGAATGGAAGCAAGTCCCCGCAGCAATGTTCCAACATCTAGTGGAAAGCCTTCCCAGAAGTGTGGAGGCTGTTATAGCAGCAAACGGGGGACCAACTCCATATTAATGCCCATGATTTTGGAATGAGATGTTCGACAAGTAGGTCTCCACATACATTTGGTCATGTAGTGTAGCTGTCTTTTATCGGATAGGCTAAATTCCAAGTGTTTATTAGAAATGTTGAGTCCATTGACATCTCTTACTATCCAACTAACCTCACACATTATAAATCACCCCTCTCTCTCCTCTCTCTCTCACACACTCACACAGCTGTGAATGGGGCCGACGGGGTGTTCCTTTGTCCTTAGAGGAGCTGCCTGAGCATCTGTGGATGACAGTGTGACTCCTGGGTTCTCCCCTGGAGGGACCACACAGTCCAATCACAGTCCGTCTCACATGAGTGACATCACATATGTTATTTAGGAATGCTTTCACAGAGAATAAAGAGATTTACAGTAAATGTGTGTTTTCTTATAGATGGGGCCAATTTGTTACATATAAGGCCTAGCAAATTCCATGTCAAAGTTATGTCATTGTCTTTAAGTAATGCCACCTGTCGGACCTGCTACCATGATTCTTTCTGTCCCCAGTCAGTCTTAGCAGTCTCAACACCAGTTCTGTGCTAAACATGACTGCCCAGTCATTGTTAAACCTCTGCATTCAGTTCACATCCATTTCAGGCTCCACAGATTGCTGCTATTAAGAAAGCAATTTCACAGTGGAACGTGATGCTGCTGTGGCTGTTAAACACCAAGCAGCATGACGTGACACCAAGCAGCATGACGTGACAACAAGCAGCATGACATGACTGGAGGGTGATATTTCCTCTCATATTCACTGCAACGAATAGTTGCAGGCACTGTCCACTCTTCTGTGGTGCTGAACTTAAAAATTATGGGATTCTGTCACTGTCCATGGATCTTCACTCAGTGTTGCTTCTGAGTTGTTCAGTGTAGGAAGACATGCTGTGGCTCTGTGTGCGTGAATTCTGGCAATGACCGCTACAAATGTAATTAGCTGTTTTTGAGACCAAAGGGAGCCGATGGACATGGGCAAAGATGGTATTGTGTATTCAGATCCTGTTGCCCGCCAAGGGGGCTATGCATTATTAAACACCTGTGCCATGTGCTGCATGCTTCTGACTGGTGACGGGGTCTGAGTATAACCCCCGTAGTGGAGTTGAATCATCACACAGACATTTGACTCAAAAAGCGTAATAGCGTGGGTGGGACATGTTTGTTTTTAAATACACTGCAACAACGTTGATTGTACATTATAGTGCCACAGCAAAGTCATATCAGTTGTTTGAGATGTATAATGACCTTTGGCTTAGGCAACTGGTGCCCTGCCCAGTCCGAAAACCTCTAGATACTTCGAGGGCCTCTCGTAGATCGTAGATCAGCCACAGCATAAAGCAATGAGTTTATCCAGTTTGTAGTGTGCATTTCTATGGTGGCCAGACTGGCCATGACCAGTACTTGGTTAGAATACAATGCTTACATGTTGTCTGGATAATATCCGGAAGCCTACTTTTCAGTCAGCTATGACATTTTCAGTGATGTTGAATGTTCCATTTGACCACTTGACATATTATGTAACACTTGCCAGTGCCAGCATTGATGGCTTTCTCTCTCTGATGAGTGTGATGATGAATGTGTTGCTAGTGCAGATGGAGCTGGAGTTAAAGACTGAGTCAGCAGAATGGCGGGGGGCGGCTGTAGTGGTGCCCCCTCTTTCTCTCTCCATCTCCCTCCCTCTCTCTCTCGTGTGTTTGTGTGGGTGTGAGAGGAGGGTGTTTGCTTGTGTGCGTACATGTGTGACTATACGTTTGTGAGTGTATATTTGTGTGTCAAGGTTGTGTAGGCTAATGGAGATAATGTGGTGTCAGAGTGGGCTGATGGCTGTAATGAATATGGTGTAGCAACATGGAGGCGCAAACCATTGTCTTCCTTCCCTGTGCCTCCCACAGCCCATGTTTAGGAGCAGGATGAGTGTGCGACGGTGACAACGCTAACCCACTATTTCCATGGGGACTATTAGATTCATCATCATCCTCCACCTCCCTTATAAAAATGTATACCTATCTGGTTGTCTACTCTGAAGTGTCCTATAATTTTCTTATTGTGGAACAAAGAATCGCATATGTGCTTTACTAGTACTCAGGTCTTGATGACATTTTGAAGATTTTATTATAAAATACATACCTTGAAAAAATCTCACAAACTCTAAAATCATTCTGTTAATGCAAATAGTTACATTAGCCTTATTAGTTTGTTACTATTCATTAGTCAATTCTAAATCCAACATGCTGGTAGTTCTAGATAAGCAGGGTTTACAATGGCATCAATAGCCTTTCTCTGGAAATTGTATTTTGCTCCTAAGTATATTTTGCTGCTATTTGCTGGATGTCGTTGGAATGATATAATTTTATCTACCTTACTCTGGTTTCCTGCTCGTTCACTAGCCTTGATGTCTTGATGCCATTAAAGGCGTCTAGAATCCTGGCATACCAGGCTAGTTTTAAGGTGATATTCATGAAGGCTAATTTCTGCAGCTGGCTAATGCTTCTCAACAGCATTATTGAGGTAAGTGGGAATGGGAAATTAGTGGATATCTGTATGGGTGGAATGATGTATGGACTGATTCAAGCCGCAAGACAGCAAAGGCTCTTGTGTCGATAATTAGCATTTCCTAACTATGTATACAAACATCGTCATTGATCTGTGTGACTTCAATCACAAGGGTCTGTCTGAGTGAATTTTACTTAGGCCCTGATTTATAAACAGGTTTAGACCTTGTCTCTTACAGTGTAGATTTATGATATTTATGGACGGCTGTCATACAACAACACTATTCGGTAATTGACCACTGGTGTTAAGTGAACAGATTTTTGTCCATACTTTTGAAGTCAAAATATTTAGTAATATTTTATTCTTCTCATCAGGGGCAATTTAGAAGGGATCTTCAGAGCAATTAGCCTATCCTCCGCATACTATGATATTTCTACAATGTACACTGCTCAAAAAAATAAAGGGAACACTAAAATAACACATCCTAGATCTGAATGAATGAAATAATCTTATTAAATACTTTTTTCTTTACATAGTTGAATGTGCTGACAACAAAATCACACAAAAATTATCAATGGAAATCAAATGTATCAACCCATGGAGGTCTGGATTTGTAGTCACCCTCAAAATAAAAGTGGAAAACCACACTACAGGCTGATCCAACTTTGATGTAATGTCCTTAAAACAAGTCAAAATGAGGCTCAGTAGTGTGTGTGGCCTCCACGTGCCTGTATGACCTCCCTACAACGCCTGGGCATGCTCCTGATGAAGTGGCGGATGGTCTCCTGAGGGATCTCCTCCCAGACCTGGACTAAAGCATCCGCCAACTTCTGGACAGTCTGTGGTGCAACGTGGCGTTGGTGGATGGAGTGAGACATGATGTCCCAGATGTGCTCAATTGGATTCAGGTCTGGGGAACGGGCGGGCCAGTCCATAACATCAATGCCTTCCTCTTGCAGGAACTGCTGACACACTCCAGCCACATGAGGTCTAGCATTGTCTTGCATTAGGAGGAACCCAGGGCCAACCGCACCAGCATATGGTCTCACAAGGGGTCTGAGGATCTCATCTCGGTACCTAATGGCAGTCAGGCTACCTCTGGCGAGCACATGGAGGGCTGTGCGGCCCCCCAAAGAAATGCCACCCCACACCATGACTAACCCACCGCCAAACCGGTCATGCTGGAGGATGTTGCAGGCAGCAGAACGTTCTCCACGGCGTCTCCAGACTCTGTCACGTCTGTCACATGTGCTCAGTGTGAACCTGCTTTCATCTGTGAAGAGCACAGGGCGCCAGTGGCGAATTTGCCAATCTTGGTGTTCTCTGGCAAATACCAAACATCCTGCACGGTGTTGGGCTGTAAGCTCAACGCCCACCTGTGGACGTCGGGCCCTCATACCACCCTCATGGAGTCTGTTTCTGACCGTTTGAGCAGACACATGCACATTTGTGGCCTGTTGGAGGTCATTTTGCAGGGCTCTGGCAGTGCTCCTCCTGCTGCTCCTTGCACAAAGGCGGAGGTAGCAGTCCTGCTGCTGGGTTGTTGCCCTCCTACGGCCTCCTCCACGTCTCCTGATGTACTGGCCTGTCTCCTGGTAGCGCCTCCATGCTCTGGACACTACGCTGACAGACACAGCAAACCTTCTTGCCACAGCTCGCATTGATGTGCCATCCTGGATGAGCTGCACTACCTGAGCCACTTGTGTGGGTTGTAGACTCCGTCTCATGCTACCACTAGAGTGAAAGCACCGCCAGCATTCAAAAGTCACCAAAACATCAGCCAGGAAGCATAGGAACTGAGAAGTGGTCTGTGGTCACCACCTGCAAAACCAGTCCTTTATTGGGGGTGTCTTGCTAATTGCCTATAATTTCCACCTGTTGTCTATTCCATTTGCACAACAGCATGTGAAATGTATTGTCAATCAGTGTTGCTTCCTAAGTGGACAGTTTAATTTCACAGTGTGATTGACTTGGAGTTACATTGTGTTGTTTAAGTTTTCCCTTTATTTTCTTGAGCAGTGTATTATTTATCATACTTAATTTGACAGCAGCTGCCCTCTCTATGGATCCAGGTCCCCATTATTAGTCATTAAAGCTGTTGAAACCGTAACCTTTCCCCTCCCTTTATTGTTCCAGTGACGTGAATGAACTGTCGTCAAATTTTCCATATGCCCCACTAATTCAAACACGATGAGATATGACAGCAGACAGGGGAGGTGAACTCTGAACCAAGACCCTGTGCCCACATCCTGAACCTCCCCAACGATCACCTCTGGGAGAGGAATTAAACATTCATGCTTTTTAGGATTCATTGCATCCACCACCAGCTGCCAAGGCCTCTGTGATAATGATAATAATAATAATATGCCATTTAGCAGACGCTTTTATCCAAAGCGACTTACAGTCACGTGCGCATATATTTTTACGTATGGGTGGTCCCGGGGATCGAACCCACTACCCTGGCGTTACAAGCGCCATGCTCTACCAATTGTGCTACAGAGCCCTTTCTTTTCGATTCCCCCGGGGAGAGCCCTCCTTCCTTCTTTTTGAGGATCAATCGGATCCTGTGTCATCACAGGCATCTTTTTTTCTTTGTTGTTGACAAGATTAGCTGGTAGGGTTGGCAATAGGCATGTCAAATGTGGAAGTTTTTATTTTTATTTTTTATTTTTGGGTAGATAGATTGTAACTTCCATCAATGTAATTGTCTGCATCACTTCCAATCCCCCATGTACATACATACATACATACATTTAAACTCAGTTTTTCACAATTCCTGACATTTAATCCTAGTAAACATTCCCTGTCTTAGGTCAGTTAGGATCACCACTTTTATTTTAAGAATGTGAAATGTCCGAATAATTGTAGAGATAATTATTTATTTCAGCACATTCCCAGTGGGTCAGAAGTTTACATACACTCAATTAGTATTTGGTAGCATTGCCTTTAAATTGTTTAACTTGGGTCAAACGTTTTGGGTAGCCTTCCACAAGCTTCCCACAATAAGTTGGGTGAATTTTGGCCCATTCCTCCTGACAGAGCTGGTGTAACTGAGTCAGGTTTGTAGGCTTCCTTGCTCGCACACGCTTTTTCAGTTCTGCCCTCACATTTTCTATAGGATTGAGGTCAGGGCTTTGTGATGGCCACTCCAATACCTTGACTTTGTTGTCCATAAGCCATTTTGCCACAACTTTGGAAGTATGCTTGGGGTCATTTTCCATTTGGAAGACCCATTTGCGACCAAGCTTTAACTTCCCGATTGATTTCTTGAGATGTTGCTTCAATATATCCACATAATTTTCCTTCCTCATGATGCCATCTATTTTGTGAAGTGCACCAGTCCCTCCTGCAGCAAAGCACCCCCACAGCATGATGCTGCCACCCCCATGCTTCACGGTTGAGATGGTGTTCTTCGGCTTGCAAGCAACCACCTTTTTTTTTTTTTTTTTTACGATGGTCATTATGGCCAAACAGTTCTATTTTGTTTCATCAGACCAGAGGACATTTCTCCAAAAAGTACGATCTTCGTCCCCATGTGCAGTTGCAAACCGTAGTCTGGCTTTTGTATGGCGGTTTTGGAGCAGTGGCTTCTTCCTTGCTGAGCGGCTTTTCAGGTTATGTCGATATAGGACTCATTTTACTGTGGATATAGATACTTTTGTACCTGTTTCCTCCAGCATCTTCACAAGGTCCTTTGCTGTTGTTCTGGGATTGGTTTGCACTTTTCGCACCAAAGTACGTTCATCTGTAGGAGACAGAACACGTCTCATTCCTGAGCGGTATGACGGCTGCGTGGTCCCATGGTGTTTATACTTGCGTACTATTGTTTGTACAGATGAACGTCGTACCTTCAGGCGTTTGGAAATTGCTCCCAAGAATGAACCAGACTTGTGGAGGTCTACAAATTTTTTTCTGAGGTCTTGGTGGTTTCTTTTGATTTTCCCATGATGTCAAGCAAAGAGGCACTGAGTTTGAAGGTAGGCCTTGAAATACATCCACAGGTACACCTCTAATTGACTCAAATGATGTCAATTAGCCTATCAGAAGCTTCTAAAGCCATGACATCATTTTCCGTCATGCACAAAGTAGATGTCCTAACCGACTTGCCAAAACTATAGTTTGTTAACAATAAATTTGTGGAGTGGTTGAAAAACGAGTTTTAATGACTCCAACCTAAGTGTATGTAAACCTCCGACTTCAACTGTACATATATATACATATCCTTAAAAATATATATATATTTCCCTTTATTACTTTCCAACCCCACCACCCCTTCCCTAATTGGAATAAACTAGTGAACAACAGCGCTTAGGCCTCGACTTCCAGCGTATACGTACTATATACATTTTATGGACACAGTCAATTTTACAATGATTCTATTTTGTTTGTTTTTACTCCTGAACTTCCTCTACCCTCAACCTCTCTGATCATTTTCATGATGTCCATCCGGTTTGCTTCTATATGCCATATCTCTCCAACTGTGCTCCTTCACAAAAGCTCTCAACCTATAACCTATATACTTATTATGGACACAGAATGCCCTACATTAGTTATCTTGCTGTTATTAGTTGTTATTAGTCCCATCCTTCAGCTCCATTCAACACCTCCCATCTATCTCAAACGTGGAAGTTGACAATACATTTTTCTATTTGTTTTTCAGGCTATTTGCAGATGGTCTCCAATACTTTCTAGATGCTTTTTCTATATCTACATTTGAAAATGTATTAATTTCTGCTCTGTTAATATTTCCTTGTCTCTGTACCTTCAGGGGAAGGAGACTGAGGAAGAGGATGATGTGGCAGTCAACATGGAAAAAGATCGATTTATGGATGAGTTCTTTGCACAGGCAAGCCCCAGGTTTCTGTCTTAATCTCTGTGTGTGTGTGTGTGTGTGTGTGTGTGTGTGTGTGTGTGTGTGCATGCTATGCGAGCGACGAGTGCTCTCTGTATGTACACCATTGAGATGTACGCAAAGTCTGCACAGGCACTGCACAACTAAATCAGAAATTCTGAGGTCCAATAAATTACTCAAAATGTTGTTCATATCAACCTTTTCATATCTCTGCTGAAATCATTTTCTTTTAGCTTTATCTCTGTAAAGTTACTAACAAGAAACTTGTACTTGAGGTTAGATAACAATGTGTTAAAGCAACGTTTGGCATCTTACTCTTCTACCAGTTTTAATCCTAATCCAGACAGTGGACAACTGTGGGCCAGATCTGGTTGTTTTGTGGCACATGTTTGGCTCAGTGTCGGCACAGCAACTTGTGTCATATGGTCCAGATCTGGTTTGGCACTAGGGAAGGGTTGCCACTTTGCTTATGGGCAAGCTCTGACTTAAGTTATGTGGCCCTATTATAAGTCCCCGTAGTTGCTGGGCCACTTTTGGTATGAAATGTGGGCTGCATGCATCCACCTTGCTGTGCAGGTCTGGCTTTTTCATGGCGAACATCTGGCGTCTAGAATCCTGGCATGGAGTTGACGCACTAGCTACTCTTAAGCTAACAGTACCCAAAATTGGGCACTATAATTACTTTAAAATATGTATATGTTTACATGACTTATTTGATTGATTTCCTGCCGTTTTATAAGTCAGATGACAGCCATCCATACCTTCCTAGGACTATGTCAACGTCCTCTGTCGAATAAATGTGTATTTGCCTCCCTCTGGTGGTCAGCTGCATCATTACATCCATTTATATCACTTCACTGCTACGTTACGTCAAAGGGGCGGTCCTTAGAAAAATATTTATCCAGCTCGACTGCTTCACGGCACAGACATGGCAAAGCAGTCACTTTCATAGCTCTACAATAAAGAATGCAACTTACACACTTCCTTAAACCTAAAATAAGTAAAGAAGTAATTTTGTGTGGAAGTCAAACATTTGTTTTACGTCGGAGGCAGACACATTGCATATGCTTAGAACAGCAAAATTGATCCCTTTACATAGCCCTTCTCCCCTTTAAATGGCCCAAATGTTGATTTAGACGTTCACAAATGTAACTGATTTTGACTCTCACTAATGTCATGATATGTTTGGTAAAGTAATAAAGAAGGTGAAATATTTTGGGTAGATGTTCCTAAAACAGATTATAACTATATATGGACATATTATAAAGTATGAAAAGGCTTATTCATTCAAAAAATAGATATATATCAGACCATCGTATTTGTATATATTTTATTATACTTTTATTGTGTACTAGATCATATAGGTTGAAAGGTGTTTTTTTTCTCAGACATAAATTAACAATTCCAGGTGAAAGTCAAAGATCATAGCTTTCTGGGGGGGAAACACTACTACATTAATAAAATATTGCCCTCTTACTAGATTGATGACTAAAACCATAGCGAAACCGTGCAAAATGGCTGTCAGCTCAACTGATTTTAAGGTATGGCAACCAGACCTGACCTACTTGTTTTTCTTCACCATCACACCTGTAAGTATTCCTGACTCTGAGTTGAGGATGTCTACTGTAATTCAGCTGGAGTTGATCCAGTTTCTAAAACTAGTTACTTCCATAGTTGAACAGGCACTTATTATGCGTGAAGTAGCGGGGTTGCCGTGTTCGTGCTCAGCCTTTGAGCTCTGAAGTCAACATCTCACTGTAGGCAACGTCTTGGGCTCCCAATTACAGACTCTTCAAGCTCTTCAAGATACACATTAAAATCATCAAGCCGTTATGGTTCAACTCTTCCCATATTCCCAAGAGAATGCGTTCTCAATCAACTTACCTGATCAAATAAAGGTGTATAAATAAATAAATAAATAAATAAATAAATGAATTGGATTTAGGTCTAGATACACCTTATTCCTCAGAGACTGTGATGGTATAATAATTTAAACCCCCTCTGCGCCCTCCCTCCTCTCTCCTCTCTTTCCATTGAAGTCTTCCTGGCATTGCCTCCCTGTACTTTAACAGGCGTTTTCTCATCAGGCTGCCCACATGTAGTGTCTGAGCTCTCTAAATCAAATCATATTAATATAAATAACAGGTGTAGACTAACAGTGAATAGCTTACTTACGGGTCCTTTTCCAACAATGCAGAGTTTAATAATAGTGACATGAGGAACACATTAACATGGTTGTATACAGGGAGTACCAGTACCGAGTTGATGTGCAGGGGTACGAGGTAACTAGCAGCACACTTAAATACTAGCTGATCTGTAGGGTACATTTTAGTCATTTAGCAGACGCTCTTATCCAGAGCGACTTACAGTTAGTGAGTGCATAATTTTTTTTTCATACTGGCCCCCCGTGGGAATCAAACCCACAACCCTGGCGTTGCAAATGCCATGCTCTACCAACTGAGCTACACAGGACTACAAACTCCGCTGAGAATCTCCCTAGCTACCAGGCACTGTGCAGTGTCTGTGGTGGTTGAATACACACGTTGATGTAACCTACATCTCTCTCTGTCTTTCTCCACCAGGAGTGATATTTAGACCACCTCCCTATAGACACAGTGCACACTGATGACATCACTGAGGCCTATAACAAAGTGTAGTGTGCTGTGAGAGTTGGAATGGAATGGGCTCGATACTGTTTGACATATACGCTGAGTGTACAAAACATTAGGAACACCTGATTACTACTGAGTTGCACCCCCTTTTGCCCTCAGAATAGCCTCAATTCGTCGGGACATGGACAACAAGGTGTCGAAGGCGTTCCACAGAGATTCTGGCCCATGTTGACACCAATGCTTCCCACAGTTGTTTCAAGTTGGCTGGATGTCCTTTGGGCGGTGGACCATTCTTGATACACACAGGAAACTGTTGAGCGTGAAAAACCCAGCAGCGTTGCAGCTCTTGACATACTCAAACCGGTGCGCCTGGCACCTACTACCATACCCCGTTCAAAGGCACTTAAATATTTTCTTGTCCATTCACCCTCTGAATGGCACACACACACAATCCATGTCTCAATTGCCTCAAGGCTTAAAAATCCTTATTTAACCCGTCTCCTCCCCTTCATCTACAATGATTGAAGTGGATTTAACAGGTGACATCATTAAGGGATCATAGCTTTCACCTGAATTCACCTGGTCAGTCAATGTCATGGAAAGAGCAGTGTTTTGTACACTCAGTGTATGACAATTATATTGGGCTTCGCTGTATACTAAGCAGCATACAGAAGTGGCTGCACACACAGACCATGTCTAGTAAAAAGCTTGATTTTAGCTTGACTGTTTAAAATTAGGCAATTGGCATCTAACGTGCTAACAGATTTTTGACTCCCCAAATCCGAGTGAAGATATAACACATTTCTACCAACAGCTACATGATACATTTTCAAACAAATCATATGAAGTATAGATTTCATGTTTTTTTTATGGACATCTTTCTGGGTCCTACATCATTACCTGGTCTGATTGTGGAAGGCCTCCTTAAGGTGTTTGTGTATTCTAGGACAAGCACCAACCCATTTTGAATGAACATACATTTATATTTTCATTTCTTATGAAGTGGTGAGGAGTGTCAAATGGGGGCTTGTTGTAGATTGTCGCCCTCTCTGCTGTACCAGGTGGAGGAAATCCGAGGCTTCATCGAGGAGCTATCAGAGAAGGTGGAGGAGGTAAAGAGACAACACAGCGCCATCTTGGCCGCCCCGAATCCTGACGAAAGTAAGTCACTCTCCTCCTGTACTCTTTCTCCCTGGATGAAAGGATAAGAGCGAGAACAAGGGAGAGGGTGGGTGGTAACCTCCACAGGTCATGAAATGAGTTGGTAGGGTGTCCAGAGTGGGTGGAAACGTGCTTTGGTGATGAAATTTCACTTCCTTATGTTATAAAATTAATTTTACCAAGACAAATATGATTACTCATGTTCGGAATCGTTCAGTGGGGTCTTTCTCTAACGTATCATTACCATTACAGTATATCCGAAAAGTCGGATTTCGTAACCTAATACATCCGATAATAAGCACCGGATTCTGTTGACATAGCGGTGCAGGTTTCTCGTAACAACTTTTAAGCGTTTAACATTTTGTGGACATTGTCTTTAAAGTTGTTTCCGTGGGTCGCAAAAAGCTAAATTAGCATGACACGAGCTGAACTAAATGTAAAATCCTTAGAAAATAAAAAGCTTGGTATAAGCTCAGCGCTCCGTTGACATTTCACAGAGATACACTTGTTTTTGTGATAAATCTTCGATAAAGAACAGGAATTTTGAATTCATATGAAAAGTGTATACGAAAATACTACATGTCATTTCTCAAAATCGATATCCATCATACCTCTATATTGTTTATGTCCTGTGGATTCGAGAAGAAAGATGTAGCCTTAATTCTTGCACAGAATCCAGCCTAGCTAACGCAATGCAATTTTCCAGATTCTTGACAAAAGAAAATCTCTGGCCTCTATTGATTTAGTCACCCTAATTCTGGCCATCCTACAAGGGTAAACACTCGAATAACTTTTGAATGGATTATGATAGAGATATGCGGTTTGGACCATTGGTTTTCTTAGCGGATTATCTACACAATTAACATATTTTATTATATAATTTTACCCATTGGTCAAAAGTTGGGGTTTTGATTGGACACCCTAGAGTTGGCAGATACTTTTGCAAAAGGGTATCACCCCTATCTGCCTCCTTCACGCACACACGCATGCACATGCGCGCGCACACACACAGTCATATGTAGTGCAGACCACCTCTGAACCTCCCTCTTTCATTACAGCCTAGTCATAAATCAGGGTTATTATCTGTTGAGCTCACATGCTGCAATAGCAATCCCTATGTTACTCTCAACCCGCACACAATATATTCTTCTCACACCCCTACAGTTTTCTTATCAGTGATAGCAGCACAAGTAGTGTGTGAAAAGGAGACTCTCTGGAACAATGGTTGTTCAAACCTCAAACTCTGTTCAGGATTTGAAGAATTTACTTGTTGAATTGAAGTGGAGAGTTGCCCACTATGTGAATGGATTGAATGGAGTTCAAATGCATTGACCCCAGCACTGGCATGAGGACTTGGGTGTTGTTGGTGTAGAGTGGTGTCTAGCTCACACTATTTATGGAAGGACTCACTCCCTGGAAAGACGTCTGTGGTTTTGTTCACTGAAAAATACAGGCCATGACCCCAAGGGTGGGGTTGAATTCAAGTCACTCTACAACACACCACACTTACTTTCAGTGTGCCAGTTTGTGAGTCAGTGTGCCACAACTACATTTTAAGTAGTGTTTAAATACCCTCCTGTTTTATCTGAAATTTATAATTAAAGTAATTTAATTGCATTGTATACAATAATAGATGTAGTCTGATTAGGCTGATAAGTCTTAATGAAACTATCAAATAAAATGTTAATGGTCGCATACATATTTTGCAGATGTTATCGCAGGTGCAGTGAAATGCTTATGTTTCTAGCTCCAACAGTGCAGTAATTAATACCTAACAATACAAAACAATACACACAAATCCAAAAATAAAATAGAAAGGAATTAAGAAAAATATAAATATCAGAACGAGCAGTGTCAGAGTCCGGAATATAAATATATATGTATATGATGGTGTGTATAGATATTATGGACAGTATATGAATAGAAAAGGTGTGTACAGCATTAGTTATATAGGATGAGCCTTTACTAGAATACAGTATATACATATGAAGTGGATAAAACAGTATGTAAACATTATTAAAGTGACCAGTGTTCAACGATTATGTACATAGGGCAGCAGTCTCTAAGGTGCAGGGTTGAGTACTGGGTGGTAGCCGGCTAGTGACAGTGACTAAAGTTCAGGGCAGGGTACTGATTAGTGGTGACTATTTAACAGTCTGATGGACTGGAGATAGAAGCTGTTTTTCAGTCTCTCTGTCTCTCTGCACCTGTACGGTCTCCGCCTTCTAGATGGTAGCAGGGTGAACAGGCCGTGGCTCGGGTGACTGAGGTGCTTGATGATCTTCTTGGCCTTCCTGTGACACCGGGTGCTGTAGATGTCCTGGAGGGCAGGCAGTGTGCCCCCGGTTGAGCTGACCTCACCACCCTCTGGAGAGCCCTGCGGTTGCAGATGGTGCATTTACCGTACCATGCAGTGATACAGCCCGAGATGATGATCTCAATGGTGCATCTGTAGAAGTTTGTGAGAGTCTTAGGGGATAAGCTGAATTTCTTCAGCCTCCTGAGGTTGAAGATGCACTGTTTCGACTTCTTCACCACACTGTTCAGTCGTGGTCAAACGATTTGTGAATGACACAAGTATTGGTCTTCACAAAGTTCGCTGCTTCAGTGTTATGAGATACTTTTGTCAGATGTTACTATGGTATACTGAAATATAATTACAAGCATTCCATAAGTGTCAAAGGCTTTTATTGGCAATTACATTAAGTTTATGCAGAGTCAATATTTGCAGTGTTGACCCTTCTTTTTCAAGACCTCTGCAATCCGCCCTGGCATGCAGTCAATTAACTTCTGGGCCACATCCTGACTGATGGCAGCCCATTCTTGCATAATCAATGCTTGGAGTTTGTCAGAATTTGTGGGTTTTTGTTTGTCCACCCGCCTCTTGAGGATCGACCACAAGTTCTCAATGGGATTAAGGTCTGGGGAGTTTCCTGGCCATGGACCCAAAATGTCGATGTTTTGTTCCCCAAGCCACTTAGTTATCACTTTTGCCTTATGGCAAGGTGCTCCATCATGCTGGAAAAGGCATTGTTCGTCACCAAACTGTTCTTGGATGGTTGGGAGAAGTTGCTCTCGGAGGATGTGTTGGTACCATTCTTTATTCATGGCTGTGTTCTTAGGCAAAATTGTGAGTGAGGCCACTCCCTTGGCTGAGAAGCAACCCCACACATGAATGGTCTCAGGATGCTTTACTGTTGGCATGACACAGGACTGATGGTAGCGCTCACCTTGTCTTCTCCGGACAAGGTGTTTTCCGGATGCCCCAAACAATCAAAAAGGGGATTCATCAGAGAAAATGACTTTACCCCAGTCCTCAGCAGTCCAATCCCTGTACCTTTTGCAGAATATCAGTCTGTCCCTGATGTTTTTCCTAGAGAGAAGTGGCTTCTTTGCTGCCCTTCTTGACACCAGGCCATCCTCCAAAAGTCTTCGCCTCACTGTGCGTGCAGATGCACTCACACCTGCCTGCTGCCATTCCTGAGCAAGCTCTGCACTGGTGGTGCCCCGATCCCGCAGCTGAATCAACTTTAGGAGACGGTCTTGGAGCTTGCTGGACTTTCTTGGGCGCCCTGACGCCTTCTTCACAACAATAGAACCTCTCTCCTTGAAGTTCTTGATGATCCGAAAAATTGTTGATTTAGGTGCAATCTTACTAGCTGCAATATCCTTGCCTGTGAAGCCCTTTTTGTGCAAAGCAATGATGACGGCACGTGTTTCCTTGCAGGTAACCATGGTTAACAGAGGAAGAACAATGATTTCAAGCACCACCCTCCTTTTAAAGCTTCCAGTCTGTTATTCTAACTCAATCAGCATGACAGAGTGATCTCCAGCCTTGTCCTCGTCAACACTCTCACCTGTGTTAACGAGAGAATCACTGACATGATGTCAGCTGGTCCTTTTGTGGCAGGGCTGAAATGCAGTGGAAATGTTTTATGGGATTAAGTTCATTTTCATGGCAAAGAGGGACTTTGCAATGAATTGCAATTCATCTGATCACTCTTCATGACATTCTGGAGTATATGCAAATTGCCATCATCAAAACTGAGGCAGCAGACTTTGTGAAAATTAGTATTTGTGTCATTCTCAAAACTTTTGGCCACGACTGTATGTGTGGATGGACCATTTCAGGTTGTCAGTGATGTGCATACTGAGGAACTTGAAGCTTTTCACCCTCTCCACTGCAGCGCTGTGGATGTTCCTTGGGAGCAATTTCCAAACGCCTGAAGGTACCACGTTCATCTGTACAAACAATAGTACGCAAGTATAAACACCATGGGACCACACAGCCGTCATACCGCTCAGGAAGGAGACACGTTCTGTCTCCTAGAGATTAACGTACTTTGAAGCGAAAAGTGCAAATCAATCCCAGAACAACAGCAAAGGACCTTGTGAAGATGCTGGAGGAAACAGGTACAAAAGTATCTATATCCACAGTAAAACGAGTCCTATATCGACATAACCTGAAAAGCCGCTCAGCAAGGAAGAAGCCACTGCTCCAAAACCGCCATAAAAAAGTCAGACTACGGTTTGCAACTGCACATGGGGACAAAGATCATACTTTTTGGAGAAATGTCCTCTGGTCTGATGAAACAAAAATAGAACTGTTTGGCCATAATGACCATCGTTATGTTTGGAGGAAAAAGGGGGTTGCTTGCAAGCCGAAGAACACCATCCCAACCGTGAAGCACAGGGGTGGCAGCATCATGCTGTGGGGGTGCTTTGCTGCAGGAGGGACTGGTGCACTTCACAAAATAGATGGCATCATGAGGAAGGAAAATTATGAGGATATATTGAAGCAACATCTCAAGACATCAGTCAGGAAGTTAAAGCTTGGTCGCAAATGCGTCTTCCAAATGGACAATGACCCCAAGCATTCTTCCAAAGTTGTGGCAAAATGGCTTAAGGACAACAATGTCAAGTTATTGGAGTGGCCATCACAAAGCCCTGACCAAAATCCTATAGAAAATGTGTGGGCAGAACTGAAAAAGTGTGTGCGAGCAAGGAGGCCTACAAACCTGACTCGGTTACACCAGCTCTGTCAGGAGGAATGGGCCAAAATTCACCCAACTTATTGTGGGAAGCTTGTGGAAGGCTACCCGAAACGTTTGACCCAAGCTAAACAATTTAAAGGCAATGCTACCAAATACTAATTGAGTGTATGTAAACTTCTGACAAACTGGGAATGTGATTAAATCAATAAAAGCTTAAATAAATCATACTCTCTACTATTATTCTGACATTTCACATTCTTAAAATAAAGTGGTGATCCTAACTGACATAAGACAGGGAATTCTTACTAGGATTAAATGTCAGGAATTGTGAAAAACTGAGTTTAAATGTATTTGGCTAAGGTGTATGTAAACTTCCGACTTCAACTGTATCTAAGCCTTAACACGACTATGTGCTCCGAAGTCCCTTTCATAGCAGGAGAAGAATCCTGCATCATTATTGCAGGTTAGAGAAGACCATTGTCAGTGGCATTTCAATGGGGACATTGACACACACAACCTCCTCATCGTCTGTGACAGATGAACTTGACCTTCGTGTTTTGTCGGGGTCACACACTCAGGCTACCCTCATTGTCAGGGCCACGGCAGGCAGAAATTAGTTGTCAGGGCTAAAACGAGATGGCAACCACATTCTGATCAGATGCGCGATTAATGAGAAGAGCCAGGGTTAGGGTTCATGTTCCGTATTCCTACCAGCTGTTTTACATACAAACACACATACACACACACACACATACGCACACTCACAATAGTGGCAATTATATACACACACACATACGTACCCATATGCACGCACTCACACACCCCCACTGAAGACAGAGCTGTCTTGGCGCCACAGGGAGCCTCTTATGTGAATGTCTCTTCTCTCAGCCTCTGGAAGAGATGATACAATCTCCCAATGGCCGTTGAGTCTGATTTCTGGAAATTAGGAGGACTACAAGGAGTGTATAGACAGAACACAGAGTTACACTAACAAGCTATTGTGGGATCTAGTGGTGGTTTTGGCGCTATCACTCTCCTATTCATAATTGATGAGTGGTTGTAATGTGGGCTATCCACTGACTCCAGACTTTCATTTTAGGAGGAGATAAAAACAGAAAAGGAGAGGAATGAAATGCCAAGGGTGCATCTCAATAGTCTAAACCAGCTTCCTCTCTTTGTTTCCTTTACCCATACAGAACTGAAAACACAGGATAGATGAGAGCAACATGTAGGAACTTAAACCCACACATTACTTTCACCTATCCAGTCATTTAGATCAATTTAGGGTAAGGAGAAAAGGACAGGAATCCACATTTTGTCTATGGAGACCTAGCCCAAAGTCATGTGTGGGGCTTAGAAGTAGGGTGAAATTACCATATCTCTGTGTGGGTGGTGTGGTCTGTGCAGCCCACTGAGAAGATGACTGATGCTGGGAGCTGGCTGGGTGGGACAGGGTAATTTACATTTACATTTTAGTCATTTAGCAGACGCTCTTATCCAGAGCGACTTACAGTTAGTGAATACATATATTTTTATACTGGCCCCCCGTGGGAATTGAACCCACAACCCTGGCGTTGCAAACGCCATGCTCTATCAACTGAGCTACATCCCTGCCGGCCATTCCCTCCCCTACCCTGGACGACGCTGGGCCAATTGTGCGCCGCCCATGAGTCTCGAACCAGGATTCGAACCAGGATCTCTCGTGGCACAGTTAGCACTGCGATGCAGTGCCTTAGACCACTGCGCCACTCAGGAGTTATCACTACCTAAGCAACCCTGATCTTCCATTTGATGGAATATTTTTGATTATTTAGGAATATTTTACCCCTCTTGGGAAGATGTATAAGTAGTTAAAAGCTGTTCAGCATCTGGTGATATGGCTGGGGTATTAAAAATATGTTTTTTTTATGTTAACAGAAGGGGCTATTTTCAATCAATACTGGAAGGGAGGGAAAGGGTGTTAAAGCAGGGGTATTCAACCGTGGGTCCGCGACGGTACTGCAGGTGGTCCGCGAAATAGATTTCCCTCCCCAATGTTTTTCTGAACTTTATTTCTGAACTCCTAATATTGAGCAAATTACACTCATTGGAGCCAATTACACACACTGGAATATCTGACATATGCTTTGAAAAAGCACCCGCGAATAGGCTACCAGTGTGGCAAGTGTCGCTGGCTGCTGGTAAGCTTTCTTGACATGGCTAACCTTTGTTTAACCAGCTAAACAGCTGCTCTTAGCAAAAATGTGTTTGGAGTTTATTTGTTTATTTGGATCTCCATTAGCTTTTGCAGAGGCAGCAGCTATTCTTCCTGGGGTCCACAAAAAGCACAAAACATGACAAGAAACAAAACACTGGTACACTGATAGACACTGAAGGACAGTCACACAAATGTAAAATACAACGATATAAAACAGTACAAAAAAAATGTCCCCTCACAGTCCCCGCCGTTCCATGAGATGTTTAATCTTTTTTAAAGGTAATTTTGCTGTTTGCTTGAGTCATTGGTGATGGAAGGGAGTTCCATGCGATCATGGCTCTGTATAATACTGTGCGTTGCCGTAAATCTGTTTTGGACTTGGGGACTGTGAAGAGACCCCTGGTGGCATGTCTTGTGGGTTATATATAGGTGTCTGAGCTGAATGTTATTCAATTATGCAGACAATCAGGAAGTTTCATTACAGTAATACTTCTCATAAAAACTAGAAGAGAAGCAGTTAATCTCTCGTCAACCATCAACCAGGGAAAACTGGCATGCATGTTGTTGATGTAAGTTCTGTATGTCCAGTTAAGGGCGAGGTGTGCTGCTCTGTTTTGAGCCAGCTGCAGCTTTGCTAGGTCTTTCTTTGCTGCACTTGATCATATTACTGGACCATCAACCAGGGAAAACTGGCATGCATGTTGTTGATGTAAGTTCTGTATGTCCAGTAATCAAGATGGGACAAGACCAGAGCCTGAACAACTAGTACAGTTGATTTTTGTGTCAAAAAGACATACCCCTCCCCATCTTCACAACAACTTTGACTTGACTATGATAATTGACCTTCCAATGTTATACCTAGGAGTTTAGCTTCCTCAACTTGCTCAATGGTCACACCCTTTATACACATCTCCAGTTGAGGTTTAGGTCTTACAGAATGTTTTGAACCAAATACAATTATTTTAGTTTTAGATGTATTTAAGACCAGTTTATTATTAATCACCCATTCTGATACTGACTGTAACTCCTTATTTAGAATTTCAGTAAGCTCACTGGCCTTGGGTGCTAATGTATGATGTGGGTCCCTGAGTCGTCAGTTTGCCTGGGAGGGGGTCCCTGGGCAAGAAAAGGTTGAAAACCCTTGTGTTAAAGGCCCAGTGTTTTATATATATTTCCACACTGAGGTTGGAATAGTACTGTGAAATTATTAAAATTATGATAATGCCCTTTTAGTGTAGCTGTTTGAAAATACCTCCTGAAATTTCAGCCTGTTTTGGTCGGATGGAGTTGTGCTCTGCCTGATGACATCACCAGGCGGTAAATTATACTGAACAAAAATATAAACGCAACATGTAAAGTGTTGGTCCAATGTTTAACATTTTCCATGTACACAAAAAGCTTATTTCTCTCAAATTTAGTGAGTATTTCTCCTTTGCCAAGATAATCCATCCAACTGACACGTGTGGCATATTAAGAAGCGGATTAAACAGCATGATCATTACACAGGTGCACCTTGTGCCACTCTAAAATGTGCAGTTTTGTCACACAACACAATACCACAGATGTCTAAAGTTTTGAGGGAGCGTGCAATTGGCATGCTGACTGCAGGAATGTCCACCAGAGCTGTTGCCAGATAATTTAATGTTAATTTCTCTGCCATAAGCTGCCTCCAATGTCATTTTAGAGAATTTGGCAGTACGTCCAACTGGCCTCACAACCGCAGACCACGTGTAACCACATCAGCCCAGAACCTCCACATCCAGCTTCTTGACCTGCGGGATCGTCTGAGACCAGCCATCTGTGGGTTTGCACAACTGAAGAATTTCTGCATAAACTGTTATAAACCATCTCAGGGAAGCTCCTCTGTGTGCTGGTCGTCCTCACAAGGGGCTTGACCTGACTGCAGTTTGGCGTCGTAACCGACTTCAGTGGGCAAATGCTCACCTTCAATGGACACTGTCACGCTGGATAAGTGTGCTCTTCACAGATGAATCCCGGTGTGAACAGAGTACCCCATGGTGGCAGTGGGGTTATGGTATGGGCAGGCATAAGCTAAGGACAACAAACACAATTGCATTTGATCGATGGCAATTTGAATGCACGGAGATACCGTGATGAGATCCTGAGGCCCATTGTCATGCCATTCATCCGCCACCATTACCTCATGTTTCAGCATGATAATGCACGGCCCAATGTCGCAAGGATCTGTTCACAATTACTGGAAGCTGAAAATGTCCCAGTTCTTCCATTACCAGATATGTCACCCATTGAGCATGTTTGGGATGCTCTGGATCAACGTGTACGTCAGCGTGTTCCAGTTCCCGCCAATATCCAGAAACTTCGCTGGAGTGGGACAACATTCCACAGGCCACAATCAACAGCCTGATCAACTCTATGCGAAGGAAATGTGTTGCGCTGCATGAGGCAAATGGTGGTCACACCAGATACTGACTGGTTTTCTGATCCACGGCCCTACTTTTTATTTTGTGGGTATCTGTGACCAACAGATGCATATCTGTATTCCAAGTCATGTGAAATCCATAGATTAGGCCCTAATGAATTTCTTTAAATTGACTGATTTCCTTAAATGAACTGTAACTCAGTAAAATCATTGACATTGTTGCGTGTTGCGTTTATATTTTTGTTCAGTGTTGTTAATAGACCAATAATAATGAGAGCTCCAAACCTCCTTCCAATAACAGCCCGTTTTCAGTTTTATCCACCCCACTCAGACTACTCCCAGACAGTCCTAGCAAAATTATTGCTTGAGAAATTGCTCTTTGCTAAGAAGCTATTTGTGTTTCTTTGTGACCAGTTTGTGCCTCGCAAAAGTGATTTCTGTCCTCTTTATGAAATTATTAACTTTACCCTGTATATCAAAAAATTACCATATACACTGATTGTTTAAAGCAAAACTACCAAAACTATTGCTGACTGTGAACCTGAACAATACAAATAAAATATATTGTAAGCCCCGTATAGCCAGATGAGCAGGTATAGCCAGATGAGAGTGTCTCTGGTAGCTTACTTTTATTCCGGTAAAACACTGTTTTCAACAGCGCATAGATAACAATAACCTAGCAAATGACATAGGTTGTCACTCAACTAATAAAGCCTAATATCGCGTAAGCCATTTTAGCATTTGAATGCTGAAGGTGCCGGACAGATGTGCAAGATCAGGAACAGGCCGCCTACCTCGCGTTGGTCAGTGCGCAATGCTAGGTGCAGTTTGAAAACTGATATTGCCTGGGATGTCCGAGGACCGATACAATTGTATCTTAATCATTTGAATCGGGGACCGAAGCATATCAGTCAATCGTTACATCACTATTAGAAATGACTTGATAATTAGATAAAAACGGCTGCATTGGACCTTTAAGAGGACATCAGGGCATGTCTTTGTTGGGAGAAACAGAAACAAACTCATTGTTGCAATCGTGTTGAGTTGAATAGGACATGTGAAATAGGATTTTGGTGAATAAATCAATTATTCAAACATTGTTTTTACTCTTTCTCTCAACAGAAACAAAGGCAGAGCTGGAGCAGCTGATGACAGACATAAAGAAGTTTGCGAACAAAGTGCGCTCCAAGTTAAAAAGTATGTTGCAAACACACAACCATTGGTCTCTCTATCTTTCAATCCCCTCTCTATGATAAATAATGTATTTGCCTGAATATTCTACCTTTAATGTGATATAAGCTTCGGCCAGATTCTATAAAAAAAAAATAAACCAGGTTCTTCATTAATTAGACCATCTGAATAAATGGTAGTGGTACTGGTAGATTAATTTTTCTTCTCTCTCGCTGTTCCCTACAGGCATTGAACAGTCCATAGAGCATGAGGAGGCTTTAAACAGGTCATCTGCAGATCTGAGGATACGTAAGACACAGGTGGGTTATGGTGTATATAGCAGGGAATTTCAAAACTGAGTCTGGAGTTTTCAGGATCAGAGTTGCCATCCCTGTTGTACTGTATGTATAACTCTGGTCTAGTTATTCTTGGAAAGCATTAACTATTGATGGACAATGTAACATCCTGCATCATTCCCTGTCAGCATTCCACGTTGTCTCGGAAGTTTGTGGAGGTAATGTCAGAGTATAACGCCACGCAGTCAGACTACCGGGAACGCTGCAAGGGCCGCATCCAGAGACAACTGGAGATCAGTGAGTGTGCTCTGTGAGTGTGTTTGTGTGTGTTCCTGATATTCTCTTATTAGCAAATGTGATACGGTATTGTGCATGTTGGGCATGATAACATTACAGACTATATAGTTACACAACGTATGAATGGGTTGATTTGTTTTGGTTTTATTTGCCCCGTCCCCAGTTTTGTTTGTCTATTTGTTTGTCTACTGTTTCCCCAACGCATGTATTTATGCATTCTTAACAGTGACTGGGATTCCTAATGTTTGGTTGAGGTGTAACTGTGTATGCTAATTTATTAGCATATTTTTATGTAGAATTCATCTGTCCAGATGCATAATTCGAGGAAACATATAATGCGTAATGGAAGGCAGGTGGATCATGTCAACTTTAGGGCTGTGTAGTCAACTTTGATCAGGACAAACCATTGGTGACACGTGTGTGTGTGTGTGTGTGTGCGTGTGTGTGTGTGTGTGTGTAATTGAGAAATTAAGCCAACGCTCCAGACATTGATCCGGTTAGTTTAGAAAGCCATCATGGGAATAGCAGTAAACAAGGTGAGGAGGCTGACGACATCATTTCAATCTTTCATTTTAATATCCTTGTTGAAATTAATTTCTCCACTCACTCATGCAGTTTAGACTGCGTTTAATAAACCTCGGCATGATCATATACATTTTTTTCCTGTATTCTCTGGAGGTGTGTGTGTGTGTCGCACTGTAATTTCAGCTCCAGATGACGGTAGTGAAGAGATAACACCCGTAGGGGCTTATTGAGCAGAATATAATATAAACATTGAAATCTTTCAGGCTGGAAGCAAATGACGTGAGGCAGAATGGGGAGAAATTGACTCTGAGATGATTAGAGATGTAGAAACAAGCTCCTCTTGGGTTCTCCAACAAGTTTTACTATTGGAGAAGCGTGGGGATACCAAAATAGCCTCTTGTGGTTAAATGATTCTCCTCTCTTTTTCTTGGGCCTTGGTCCTTCACCTAAAGATCTTTCAGTAGCATCATGGTGTTATGGCTTATGCTGTTGGCAGCCTAACATGAATGTGTATTGATATTTACAACTCATATGAATCCAACTGTCCAAATGTGTTTGTTCATTTGTCTCAAGAAGTTATGCAATTGCTAGCCTGTGTTTCAAGTCTGTGTGTGTGTGTGTTCATGGCTCCCAGGTGAGCCGCAGGTGTGCTGCAGCCAGGAAGTGCTAGCGGCGCTGAGTCAATATTGAACCAGGCGGAGCAGTAAGCAGAAACCCTACAGCTGAACCTCCACACACACACACACACACACACACTGCACAGTCATACACAGCCATAGCGCATTATACATAGCTATAGAGTGTTATACCCAGTCATAAAGCATTGTACACATCTCACAGGTCTCTTTCCAAAAATTGAGAGAGACGTCCTGGTAAAATATGTTAAATACTGTTAAGGAGAGAGAGGAGCTCTATCAACAACTGTAAAACATCATACCAAGCCATAGATCTTTTTACAGCCATAGTGTTTTATGCATAGGCTACATATTGTTATACGCATTGTTGATACCCACAAATACAAGATTTAACTTGGTAGTTTTCTCTAGGGCTGTCAAATTGACCTTTGCTCTATTTGCGTTATCGTCACTAAATCAAATCAAATCAAATTGTATTTGCCACATGCACCGAATACAACAGGTGTAGACCTTATAGTGAAATGCTTACTTATGAGCCCTTAACCAACAATGCATTTTTTAAGAAAAAAAAAAAAAGTGTTAAGTAGAAAATAGCAAATAATTAAAGAGCAGCAGTAAAATAAAATAACAGTAGGGAGGCTATAAACAGGGGGTACCGGTACAGTGTCAATGTGCGGGGGCACCAGTTAGTCGAGTAATTGAGGTAGTATGTACACGTGGGTAAATTTAAAGTGACTATGCATAAATAATAAACAGAGTAGCAGCAGCGTAAAATAGGCTTTGTCGTGCCCTCTTCACGACTGTCTTGGTGTGTTTGGACCATGAGAGTTTGTTGGTGATGTGGACACCAAGGAACTTGAAGCTCTCAACCTGCTCCGCTACAGCCCACAGCATGGTCAGCTCTCCAGTGGAATGTGAGGCAATGTGGGTATCTGATACCCAATGTGGGTATCTGCCATTTACCTGTGAGTGGGAGGCTGACTAGGCTAGGATAGGCAAGGGAATGAGATGAGTAGGTGGTGTTGATAGACCTGGGTCCACGCAGAGTGGAGAGAGAATGAGGGGGTGGAACAAGGGTTAGCCTTGGGGGTCACCTGGGAATATAGGAGTACACAGATCCATAGTGGAAGTGTGCACACACACACACACACACACTACACACACTCACACCTCAATCACAACACAATGCAAAGAAAAATTCTAACCGTAGGTAAACACTGGCAGTGTTCTGATTGGATGCTGGGTTGCCACGGCAAGTGTTACTTTGTCCTTGACAATCAGGAATGAGTCATTCATGACACTCACTCCTCCCAATGGCAATTAGTGAAAGGGTGCACTCATTAACTTAGCCGGACCAAGAGGCTAGGACTTGCAGATTAACATGTTGGAAAAAATATTATACTGTCACTACTCGCTACCTCTAACCAACCAAGGTTTATAAATGGACACATTTGTCAAACCGGCTATGTGAGAGTTATTCAGCCTTTCTTGAAGAAGTGCTGCACACGGCCCGAATAGGGAGAGGAAAGAGAGAGCGACTGTTATTGGGCATGGCAATGGCTGAGGTTTGATGGATAAAAAAGTGGGAGGGCAGAAGGACACTGGGAAGGAGGCAGAGGTATTTTTTCAGGCCTTATGTCTGTGTGCGTGTTTCTTTGTACGTATTTGTGTGGCCATCACATGTTGTGGCCTTTTCCCAGCCTTCTGATGAATTGTTGTGTCACTAGCTGCCAGTAGATGATCGCCCCACACTAAAGCTTCACCATTTATCTTACCCAGCCACAGCACGCAGACAGCGATTGAATCACAGGGTCGGTCACTAAGGTTACAGACTTGAAATATACATTTCCCCTGGATGGAAGACTGGATTAGGCCCTCCTATTGCCAACAGATGCACAAGATATCCCCAACACATCTCTGCTTCTTGCTAGCAGGCATAGGAAATCTGTGGAAAGCAATATTGCGTGTGCATGCTTTATTTCAAATAGTGATGGTGTTAACTTAATCTGTCTGTAATACAACCATGATGGAGCTCTACAACATAGGTTCCTTTGGATTCTTGTTTGGATGAACTCAATCACTAAGACACATTTACTGAGTGAAACAAAAATGCCCATACAGTATTAATCAAAAGTAATGCATTTGGGTGGCAGTAGCCTAGAGGTTAGAGAGGCGGACCTTGAGCAAGGCACTTAACTGCACACAACTGCACACAAGACCCGGCCGGGCAACACAAAAATGGGAATGGAACTGAAATGGTAGCTGGAAGGCTGCTGGTCTCTAATCCCATGTACCATTTCCTACCGTTGTGCCCTTGAGTAAGGCACTTAGCTGCACACAGTTGCTCTCCATCCAGGGGTGCTGCACTGCTGCTGACCCTCTGCCTCTCAACGTGTGTGTATCTGGGGGTGTTGGGAAAGGCAGAAGGCAAACTTTCCGTTCTAACCAATGGACAATAAAGTCGTATTTTATTCTATTCTATTCTATTAGGAATATATTATATGCAATTATATTTATTCATATATGCTTTTATGAATGCTTATAGCAAATGTTATTAATAGGTAATAGGAGGCACCATAAACTCATTACACCAAGGTAGTTCATAGAAACTATTATACATTTCAAACAGGAAATCTGTGACATACTGCCTTTGAAACAGGCTGAGTGTGTCTCCCATCAGGGGCTGGGTTCGACAGAGGCAGAGATAGAAACAGGCAGATGAGAGACTAGCCTGTGATTAATCCTACACTGATGCCTCTCTCGCTCTCTCTTTCTCTCTCTCTCTCTGCACCTTGTCCTCCCAGCCCAATTGCCTGGATGGGGTTGTGGGCGCCCACTCTCTGCCAACGTGATGACTGATGCGTCGGCACACACACACCACACACACACACACACAAGCACACACATGGCGAGCGCACACACACACACACACATAGCAGCCCTGAGGAGGCTCATTTAGCCTGTCACAATGACATGCTCACGCCACCTTGGAGGCAGCCCATCGACATGTCTTGGGAGAAGGAAAATTAGATATAACACTGTGTTGGTAGATGTGTGTGTACGTTTAATTATGTGGGAATGGGTGTGTGTGTCTGTATGTGTGTGGTGGTTGGGTGGCCAACATGTTTACCTTCTTACTTAGTTAGCTAAAATATATTCGGTGTGTCTTTCTCAGTTATCGATGGCCATTCCCAGTTGGATCACTTTATGAGATGTGTTGCTGTTTCAAAATGTATAGTCTTCTATTGTGCCCAATTGCTGTTGGTTACAGGTTGGTGGTTGTTGGAGACCAACTCCATGGATTGTGTTTGTTATTGTAGCTGGTAGGAACACAACTAATGAGGAACTAGAGAGCATGCTGGAGAGTGACAACCCTGCCATCTTCACATCAGGGGTGAGTGACCACACACACACAAACAAACACACACATACTCTCACATACTCTCACACACACACACACACACACACACACACACACACACACGTGCATGCAAGGAGCCAATACACAGGCAAGCACATGCAATTGTCTGAGAAAATCATACACAATACACTCATCTAGAAGACAAGATCTCACTCTGTTGGCGAGGTGTGGCATACCGACTGAGAATGCCACACCTACAAGAGGGAGAACTTGTGTGTGGGTATGAGTGTGTGATTACACATGAACTGTGTCTCTGTGTCTCCTAGATCATCATGGACTCCAACATCACCCAGCAGGCCATGAATGAGATTGAGACAAGACACACTGAGATCATCAAGCTGGAGAACAGCATCAGAGAACTTCACGACATGTTCATGGATATGGCCATGCTGGTGGAGAGCCAGGTGGGAGTCTATACACACTGACTGGCAACACACAAAAATGAAGACTACACACATACCAATTTGAAAACCCACAACAATGATATCCCTCACTTTCTATTCCCTGATCCTCCATTTACCTTCTCTCTCTATCTCTCTCTCTCTCTCTCTCTCCCCTCAGGGGGAGATGATAGACCGTATAGAGTACAACGTGGAGCACTCAGTGGACTATGTAGAGAGGGCCGTGTCTGATACCAAGAAGGCAGTAAAGTACCAGAGTAAAGCAAGGAGGGTAAGTCAAATACTAACTCTCAATGTGACCTGATGTGAGTGTTGTGTCGTTAGATGTAACGTTGCATGACGTGGCTTGATGTTGCATGACGTGGCATGACGTTAATGTGACATTGCATGACGTTGATGTGACGTTGATGTGAGTTAAGTTGACGGGAGGTGTCATGGTCTGAAGCGCATGTCTTTCCCAAAGTAAAGATTCAGTGACAGGTACGTGACTCAGGCCCATAGGAGTCCCTCTCTCTCCCTTCAGTGGTTCAATGAGAAGATTGCGTCACACATTAACAAGATATCATAGATTCCCTTCGAAATTCGAAGCGCAGAGGAAGTGTGATGAGTGTGATTAGAAGGAGTCAGGCGCAGGAGGGTAAATCACCAAATACAGAGTTTATTCCGTTGTACACAGTTGCGCTGGATAGCGCAACAAAATACAGGCACAGGGGAACAATCTACCCCGTCAATACAAGGTACGAGTAGCTCCACCAAGCTACACTCAACTCACATAAAACAATCACCCACAAGGACAAGGGGGCAGAGGGAACACTTATACACGGACTAATGAGGGGATATGAACCAGGTGTGTGTAATTGACAAGACAAGACAAATGGAATGATGATATATGGAGCGGCAGTGGCTAGTAAGCCGGTGACGACGAACGCCGAAGCCTGCCTGAACAAGGAAGGGAGGCAGCCTCGGCGGAAGTCGTGACAGTACCCCACCCTTGACGCGCAGCTCCAGCAGCGCGCCAACCCCGGCCCGGGGACGGCCAGGAGGACGCGGAGCAGGGCGAGCCGGATGGCGATGGTTGAAACCCGCAACAAGGAGGGATCGAGGATATCCCTCACCAGGACCCAGCACCGTTCCTCCGGACCGTACCCCTCCCACTCCACGTGGTACTGAAGGCCCCCCACCCGACGCCTCGAATCCAGGATGGAACGGACAGAGTACACCGGGGCCCCCTCGATGTCCAGAGGAGGTGGAGGAACCTCCCGCACCTCAGACTCCTGGAGGGGACCAGCCACCACCGGCCTGAGGAGAGACACATAATAATACGGAGACACATAATAAGGGGTTAACACGGTAATCAGGGGGAAGTAATAACCTATAGGTGACCTCGTTGATTCTCCTCAGGACTTTGAACGGCCCCACAAACCGCGGGCTCAGCTTCCGGCAGGGCAGGCGGAGGGGCAGATTCCGGGTCGAGAGCCAGACCTGATCCCCCGGAACGAAGACCGGGGCCTCACTGCGGTGGCGGTCAGCTTTGGCCTTCTGACAACGCGTAGTGCGTTGGAGGTGAACGTGGGCAGCGTCCCACGTCTCCTCCGCGCGCCGAAACCAGCCATCCACCGCAGGAGCTTCGGTCTGGCTCTGGTTCCACGGTGTCAGAACCGGTTGGTAACCTAAAACACATTGGAATGGCGTTAGGTTAGTAGAGGAGTGGCGGAGAGAGTTCTGGGCATATTCTGCCCATGGCAAGAACACCGACCACTCCCCCGGCCGGTCCTGGCGGTAGGACCACAGGAACCTAACCACATCCTGATTTACCCGTTCCACCTGCCCATTAGACTTGGGGTGGAACCCAGAGGTCAGGCGTCCATGAACGCCTTCCAGACCTTGGATGTGAACTGGGGACCTCGGTCAGACACTATATCCTCTGGTACCCCGTAGTGCCGGAAGACGTGTGTAAACAGGGCCTCCGCAGTTTGCAGAGCCGTGGGGAGACCGGGCAGAGGAAGGAGGCGGCAGGCCTTGGAAAAGCGGTCCACAACGACCAGGATGGTGGTGTTACCTTGGAAGAGGGGAAGATCAGTCAGGAAATCATCACTTAGGTGAGACCATGGTCGTTGTGGAACTGGTAAAGGTTGTAACTTACCCGCTGGGAGGTGCCTAGGTGCCTTACTCTGGGCGCACACCGAGCAGGAGGAGACATACACCCTCACGTCCTTAGCTAAGGTAGGCCACCAGTACTTTCCGGTCAGGCAGCGCACTGTACGATCGATACCTGGGTGACCAGAGGAGGGTGACGTGTGTGCCCATTTGATCAGCCGATCACGGATAAGAGCAGGCACGTACCGCAGCCCAGCTGGACACTGAGGTGGAGATGGATCTGTGTGTAATGTTTGCTCTATATCCGCGTCCACCGCCCATACTACCGGCACCACAATGCAGGAGGCCGGAAGTATGGGGGTGTTGTCTCTGGGCCTCTCCTCTGTGTCATACAGCCGTGACAATGCGTATGCCTTTACGTTCTTCGTACCCGGGATGTATGACAGTGTAAAATCGAACCGGGTGAAGAATAGGGCCCACCTGGCCTGGCGAGGATTCAGCCTCCTCGCTGCCCGGATGTACTCCAGGTTACGGTGGTCCGTCCAGATGAGGAAAGGGTGTTTCGCACCTTCGAGCCAATGCCTCCACACGGTCAAGGCTCGGACAACAGCCAACAGCTCCCGATCACCAACGTCGTAGTTCTGCTCCGCCGGGCTGAGCTTCTTAGAGAAGAAGGCACAGGGGCGGAGCTTGGGTGGCGTGCCCGAGCGTTGAGACAGGACAGCGCCTATCCCTACCTCAGACGCATCCACCTCCACTACGAACGGTAGTGATGGATCGGGGTGGGCCAGTACTGGGGCTGAGGTGAACAGACCCCGCAGTCTGCTGAAGGCCAGGTCAGCCTCAGCAGACCAGCGGGGCCGGGACGGCCCACCCTTCAACAGGGATGTAATGGGAGCTGCGACCATGCCAAAGCCCCGGATAAACCTCCGATAGCAGTTGGCGAAGCCAAGTAAGCGCTGCACCTCCTTAACCGTGGTTGTAGTCTGCCAATTACGCACGGCTGAAATGCGATCTCCCTCCATCTCCACACCTGAGGTGGTAATGCGGTATCTGAGGAAGGAGACGGACTGCTGGAAAAACATACACTTCTCTGCCTTGGCATAAAGGTCATTTTCCAACAGTCGGGCCAGCATTTTGCGAACCAGGGACACATGCTCGGCGCGCGTAGTGGAATACACCAGAATGTCATCGATGTAGACCACTACACCGCGACCAAGCATGTCCCGAAACACCTCGTTCACAAAGGACTGGAAGACGGATGGAGCATTCATCAAACCGTAGGGCATCACCAGGTATTCATAATGCCCTGTGGTTGTGCTGAATGCTGTCTTCCACTCATCCCCCTCTCGGATACGCACCAGGTTGTACGCACTCCTGAGATCTAATTTGGTGAAGAAGCGCACCCCATGCATTGACTCAATCACTGACGGAATGAGGGGGAGAGGATAACTAAATCTGATCGTCTCCTTGTTCAGTGGTCGATAATCAATGCACGGGTGCAGACCGCCATCTTTCTTCTTCACAAAGAAGAAACTCAAAGAGGCGGGTGAAGTGGAGGGACGTATATACCCCTGGCACAGGGACTCGGTGACGTATGTTTCCATAGCCGCCGTTTCAGCCTGCGACAGGGGGTACACATGACTCCTGGGAGGTACAGCGTCTACCTGGAGGTTTATCGTGCAATCCCCAGCCCGATGAGGTGGTAACTTGGTAGCCTGTGTTTTTGAAAACGCGTGGTCAAATCGAGGTATTCGGGGGGAATGCGCACGGTGGAGGTACTGTCTGGACTTTCCACCGTGGTTGCACCAACGGAAACACCTAGACACCTACCCTGACACTCTCGCGACCACCCCGTGAGAACCCTCTGCGGCCATGAGAAGGTGGGGTTGTGGAGTGCTAACCAAGGGATACCTAATACCACAGGGAAAGCAGGGGACTCAATAATAAAGGAGGGTAAATCACAGAATACAGAGTTTATTCCGTCGTACACAGTTGCGCTGGATAGCAACAACAAAATACAGGCACAGGGGAACAATCTACCCCGGCAATACAAGGTATGGGTAGCTCCAACAAAATACAGGCACAGGGGAATAATCTACCCCGGCAATACAAGGTACGAGTAGCTCCACCGAGCAACACTCAACTCACATAAAACAATCACCCACAAGGACAAGGGGGCAGAGGGAACACATATACACAGACTAATGAGGGGATATGAACCAGGTGTGTGTAATTGACAAGACAAGACAAATGGAATGATGATATATGGAGCGGCAGTGGCTAGTAAGCCGGTGACGACGAACGCCGAAGCCTGCCTGAACAAGGAGGGGAGGCAGCCTCGGCGGAAGTCGTGACAGTAAGGCATAAATCGGCGTTCTTAGGACCTTTTCAAACATCTGAAATCGCCGTCTATTTCTTGTGATCAGTCTGTATACATAGCATACGTAACATTTTAATGTATAGTACAACCCTTGTGTCTGAACAGCCACAGTGCAGGATGGGATGGAAGACCCTGCCACACAGAAGTAAGACTTTTACAGTTGTTGTCTGTGCAATGGGGAACAGTGCCTGTCCCTTCATGTTGGTCACACAGCCCTCTTCCAGCTCCAAACCAGACTAAACATTGGACTCATAAACACACGGTCAAAGCGAATATGTCACGTATTGACATCAATTCATCTCTGGAGACCTCTGTGGAAAAAGTGACTAATTAATTTAACCTTTTCTGTTTTGTTCATCTCCAGTAGCAAAAACAATGCATATGTAGTGTTATAGGTGGGTAAATTAAACTGTCACAAAAAAAGGTGCACAAACTGTGTTTACTTGCATTTTCAACCCAGGCAAACCATGCATGACCTTATGTGACCTGGTCTCATTGAGATCCTCTGTATGTATCTATATACCTTCATCATTGCTGCTGTGACAAAACAGCATGCATCAAGCCTACTGCTCTCTGCTGGGCTACATCTATTATTCAACTGTCTCTCCTACACTCGCTGTAAAACTTACCCTTAGGCACAGATCTAGGATCAGCTTACACTCTCTAATTCCTGACCATTACTATCAGAGGTAAAAGGCGAAACTGACCTAAAGCCAGCGTCTAGGCCTGGGCAATTTAATCAGACTCCTCCCTGAATGACAGCCTGTACATTGTACAATATTGCCACCACTTGGTCAGATAAAGTACAGCAGGTCAAGGTTGAG